CCCGGCAGTATGTACAAGCTCTGCTAGTAGAGCCGGTTCGAGCCGGGGTGCTTAGGGAGGGAGGGAGGGAGGGAGGGAGAGAGAGAAAACAAAACAAAATCAGCATGAACTCCTGAACCCAGAACCAAGGGCCCAAACCCTAAACTGTAACCCTAAAGCCTGAAGCCTCAACCAGGACTTGCACCCTGGCGGCCGTGGGTACGATTCGCAGGGATTCTGGCAGCTTCCACCTCGTTGCAATTGCTTGGCAAGTTGAAAGCGAGGCCTAGGGTTTAGGGTTTGGGGTTTAGGGCCTAGTTTAGGGCTCATGTCTTGCTCCCCGACCTCCGAGTTTCCCCTAAAGCCCGGGGCCCCAAACTCTGCGAGCTCAAGTTGTTCAGTTTGATTCTGACTCAAAGATTTGTGTTTCTTTGCTTCAGGGTGTCGCCATTACATGAGGCTTTTGGGTTGAAGGCTTTAGAGCTCAGGGATTCAAGCTTGTGGGGCTTAGGTTTAGGTTTGTCATTCCTCAGGGGGGGAATCGGATGTTCCTTTTGAGGTGAGGCGAGGGGGGTCGGGGTCAGAGCTTAGGGTTCGAGGCAGGGGGCCCTGCAACAGGACACGCCCCTGACTAGGGTTTAGGGTTTAGGGTTTAGGGTTTAGGGGTTTAGGGTTTAGGGTTTGGGGATTAGGGTTTAGGGTTAGGGTTTACAGTTAATCCATGCAACCTTCTGCCCGACCCAAAGAGTAGCAAAAACAGCAAACCCTTCCTAAATTGCAGCATCGCTCCTCATAAAGAGCTACAATTACAAGAACTCGAAGCCCGCACCTTACATGCTTTTCTTTTACGATGCCACCTGAGATCCTGAAGCATGGCAGGATATAGTCTTGCCCAGAGGCTTAAAAAACACTTCCCAGCCCTCGGCCGTAAATCACACCAAGCTAAGCCACCTGTCACCCAAAACCATAAACCTTTAGATCCCCAAAGCCTAAACCCGCAACCCAAACCTCAAAGAAGCCTAAAGCCCAAGCCCGAAAACCTCTCACTGTACCAACCTGTGAAACCACCATAAACCTCTATATGAACCCTTAAAAAACCCTGCCTAAGCCCCTGCAAAAGACTATGCCACAAACATCGTGGCAATCAAACCTAAACCCCAAACTGCCACAAGCCTCAAGCCCGCAAAACTTATACCCTAAAACCCTGGAACCCTGAACCCTCAAAGACTAAACCCAAGGCCAAGAGACCTGAGGTACTTTCCGGCTCTGCCTCTCAGGAAACCTGAAATTTGGTGAGATGTCCTGGGTCGGCATCTTGAGTATTTCTCTTCACTGCGGTCTTTGAGCCCCCAAAGCCTGTAAAATTCTGTGAGTACGGAATGCCTCAACAGAAACCTTGGTTTGCAAAGGAGAGCGGTTCTGGCCTTTCTGTCGGCTGCACTTTTGTAGCACAGGGCCTTCGAGGCTTAGGGTTTATGTCAGTCCGACGCACACGGCGAGTTGTCCCCGTTCAGATGCTTGAGGCTGAACGGATTTGGCCAGGGCATTGGGAACTCCTTCCAAACAAGGATGGGCTCTTCATCCCTAAACCCTCAAGCCTGCATCGTCAACATATTGCATTGTGGTTGGCGGCTTTGATTTGGGATCTCGTGCACACGATTCGGATAGGGTTGAGGTTTAGGGTTTGGCACTTGAGGTTTAGGCTGTGGGGGTATGAGCCTGGGATCCTATCTTCCAGGAACCCGGGCTGAACGTGAAGCCCCAAAGCCAAAGCATGAGTCGTTCTCGCCAATCCGTACTGTGTACACTACATGTCTGTCTTTGACTAGCCTGCATCGAATGTTGTACTAGCTTCTCGGAGCAGAAAAGCTGTCCCAGCATCTTGTTGAAAACCAAACTGCCTATGCCCAACTTCCTAAACCTGCGAGCTGCAGAATCGCCCGTTGCCTCGTCGGCCTCGTATTTTCGGCTTAAGAACACCATGTGTGTCGGTGTCCTTTTTGATTTTGAATGTCATGGCAAAAGGATCGTGTGCTTGCCAAAGCATACCCTTGGTGAAACGACGCTCAACCACAAAGCACCTCTTTGCCTCAGCCAAAGCTCTTGAAGTTGAGAAGCACTGTTAGAACCAAGACCCTGAGGCCCATGAAGCCGCCCAAGCCCAAAACAGCTTATGTCAGCCAAAAACTCCAACCATTGAAACGTACTTTGACCCCTATAGACCTTCAAGAAGCACTTACAAAGTCTTGTGACATGCTGAACCCGCCCCGAAGAGACACTGAAAAACGCCTTCAGAAGCCCTTAAAACCTCAAACAAGCCCCGTGCTGCCGAGGCTCAAAGAAATCTCTCGCGAGCTCCGGGCTTTGAAAGCTGAGGAAGCAATAGCCGAGATTGCAGGCAGACCGTCCCTGCTTCACCTTTGGAAACGTTAGAAAAAGACAGTTGTTATTGGATGCTGCTGGAAGGGTTTCTAGGGATTTCTAAAGGCTTTATGAAGGCTGCGCAAGGGCCCCCTGCAACTTTAGAACGGGAGTATGGGCTACAAGCCTTCTGGGTTTCCCCGAGGGTTTTTGGGTTCATCTCAGTCAAGCTTATGTTGAAGGAGTCAGACAGATTGCAGCTCGATATGGAGGTCTCGGGGTTTTGAGGATCAGATTGCCCTCAAGGAAGGTGTGGTGCTCAGGATCTCAGGTGAAGTCCTGGAGGGTTGAGCTTGCAGTGCCTTCGTCACGGTTTCATAGATTCCTTCCGCGGCTTCTGTAAGGGTTCATGGGCTTCTAAAGCCGGGCTGCGGAGCCGGAGCCCCACATGTGTGCAAGGTATATGGGTAGTTCTCTAACTTTAGGGTTCCTTTTTGGGGTTCCTCTTTCTAAGGGTGCCGTACTATATGGGACTTAAAAAGGGACCTAGATAGTTAGACAGATAAATGGAAAGGATAGGATAGGAGAGGCGAGGCTAGGAGAGGACAGGATAAGGTGGGATTGGATGGGAAGGGAATAGGATGCTGTAGCATAGGATAGGACGGGAAGGATACAATAACAAGATAGATAGATAGATACATAGATAGGTAGATAGGAAGCTAGATAGGATAGGATAGGACAGGGCAGGACCGGACCGGACGGCACAGGATAGGTAGGATGGGATAGGACAGGATAGGAACAACATATGGATCAAAAGATAGAAGATAGATAGATAGATAGATAGATAGATAGATAGATAGACAGACAGATAGACAGACAGATAGACAGATAGGTAGGTAGGTAGGTAGGTAGACAGATAGACGGATGGATAGATAGACAAGAACATGAATGGACAGATATATGGATTGATAGGTCGGTAGATCGGTAGACCGAAAGATCCAGAAATCGATGTATCTATATCTCGCTAAGTAGATGAATAGATAGGTAGATGGGTAGATAGTTCGACGAGTCGACAGATCGACCGGTAGAGAGATAGATAGAGAGACAGACACACGGAAAGGAAGATGCAGAGACAGAGAGGGATAGCGACATGCATACATGCATACTGTGAAGCGGCACGGAGTGCCGATGACGCAGTGTACCATCGCAGAGAGGTCCCCGAAGACCTCAAGCCCGAGCTGAACCGCAGGTCCTGACACCCTGAACCCCAACTTTACCCGAAAACCTTAAAGCACCAAAACCCCATAAAGAGGCTGAGCGGCAGGAAGATGCAAGTAGACCAGGTCCTTCTCCTCAAATCCCAACAACTTCACCGCGGACAAGATTTCCTGCGCCATGGAACCGTTTCGGGCTTGTGGGTTTTTCGGCTGCAGGCTTAAGGCTCAGGGCTGAGCTAAACTGCGATGTATGGGGCCCAAAACCGAAACTCCAAAAAAGTGAGCGTTAGCGGTGGAACTCGAGGGGGCCTCCAGGGGTCTTTCGGAAACTCACCATGCAGAAGCCTGAATACTTCCTAAAATACTATTACTAATAAGGGCTCCTGGCTAATGAGAGTCCTGATACCCCAAAACCCTAGGACATAAATTCATTGAACCCCCAAAACCAGAGCTTCAAGGGGTCATTCGGAATGTGGGGGGCCGGAGGACTGCACCAGAGCGAAACTTACTTTGCCATCTCTGTGGGTGTATGAGTGATCAGGGCATGCAGAGTACTAATGTAGGGGCCTTCATAGTTAGAATAGGGTTTTGGGGTCCATTTTTCTATAAGAAAAATCAGGAATCCCCAAAAATAGCATTGGTAATTATCCAGGCCGCTGTATTATCAATATGGCTTCACTGCTTCGCCTTCGATCAATCTGATGTGGCTTGCTCTAGTGACCGTTCTCCGATTCTCTTCGATCTTTTCGTGTCAAGGGCTGTTGGGCTCTCAGGTTGCGCAGGCATGACCCTAAGCCGTATAATACGAGCCTTGATAGTAGGACTTCGGGAGATGTCATAAACTTAAACTAAGCCCCCCAAAACCCTCAATCCTCGAAAAAACCTCAATCCCCCAAAACCCCAAATACCTCAAAAACCCCAAAAAAAAAACATTCAATCCCAAAAACCCCAAGAAAATCCAAAAGAAACCCAGAGCCGAAGCCCGGGGCATGGAGCAGGGATCCAGCAAATCAAAGAAAGCCCAAGGTTTGGGGGTTGAGAGGTTAGGGGGGTTTAGGGGTTTAGGGGTTTAGGGTTTGGGGTTGAGAGTTTGGGGGGTTTAGGGTTTGGGGGTTTCGGGGTTTAGGGGTTTAGGGTTTGGGGTGGGGAGGTTTGGGGTTGAGGGTTGAGGGGTTTAGGGTTGAGGGTTTGAGGAGTTTAGGGTTTAGGGGCTTGGGGGTTTAGGGTTTCTGGTTTAGGGGGTTGAGGGTTTGGGGGTTTGGGGTTTGGGGTTTAGGTTCAGCACATAGCACGCTAAACCCGCTAAAGCCTAAACCCCCCGTTGCTGTAACCCAGCATTCAACCTGCAAGGAAGTCCACGACCCTAAACACGAAGTTGAGGTGAACCTCAGAAATTGACTACACAGGAGTCCTGAGCACGGCAACGACAAGGGATGTTCCTTGGGTTGGTTTCGGAATTGAGCCCTTGCGCTTCGGGTTTAAGGTTTGGGGGGGTTACGTTTGGTGATTGGCAGGCTTGAGGGCCCGGAGCACTTCTTTGTGTGAGTGAAAAGAGGATACATAGGCACGGCACGGATCTAGTGAAGTCTCGTGATTCTACATTCGTGTCAAGTTTTCCTGGCAATCCGGCCAAGAATCGACAGGCTCCTCTGGGTGGATGCTTCTGGAAAGGCTTTATGTCGAGCCCTTGTAGGTCTAGGCATGTACTGCTTTAGCCGAAGCTGTAGACTTTACAGCATATCCCCAACTTGTTAGAGCTGGGTTCCTTGTTAGAGCTGGGTTCTGTGGCCCTGACCCTCAACCGTCGTTCGTCACAGTCCAAAGACAACATCAAGCCCGGGACGGTATCCTTGCTCGTCTTTCTACAGCGTGTCCTACAAGGTACTACACAAACCCTCAACTGGGGCCCTGGACCCTCAGCACGCACGAAAGCAAGTGAAAGCCCCACCCTCCGAAACTTCAGATATCCTAGCCCCGGAATCCTAAACCCCAATGAAACCCGATCCGTAAACCCTAAACCCTAAACCCCAATGAAGCCCGACCCTTAAACCCTAGCCGCCCCAGGCCCCTTGACCTTCAAGAGAAGCTGGGGCGAGCACTTGATCGTCACGGTGTCCGCTGCAGCTGGCCACTCCTAGCAGTTTACGGTTTTGGGCTCCTGGAGCTTAGGGAACAACCCTGCCAGAGAGCCCAATGCCCCTTAGGGAATAGAGCTTTTCTTATGAGGGGCTTTCAATGTTATGATTTAAGGTGTATATGATTCCTTAGTTAAGGGGTAACAATAAACCCCAAACCCTTAAAGGGTCCGGAGTTTGGAGCCAAAGCCTTTTTTAGGCTTTGGCCTGAGCTAGGCTGCCGGCGTAGGCTGGGCGGCTGCGCGAAAGCCGGTGGTGAAAACATACGGATGTGCATTCATTCTCGTCTTGGGGGTTTGGGGCTTTAGGGGCTTTAGGGGCTTTAGGGTTCTAGGGGTTTTCGGATTTTCGTGCTTTGGGATTTGGGGCGCTGGGTGGAATACAGCACGCGGCTTTCGACAAAGAAACCCTTGGGTTCCCTTTTGAAGCTTGGAAAAGTAGGCCTCAAGATGTAGCATCAAGTAGGGCTTTAAGATCTGAGTCTGAGTAGTCAGTTTAGTCATTCGGCGCTTAAAGGGTCTTCGTTTTCAAGCTCCTTGTTCCGTCTGCAGAGTCTAGAATCGAACGGCCCAGAGGCCAGGAAGTGCGCTTAGGGTCTAGGGTTCTGGGACCCGGAGAGCCGATTTCCGGGTCCCTAAAGGTTTAGGGTTTAGGGTTTAGGGTCTAGGGTTTAGGGCCCTAAACCCTAAACCTATAAACCCTAAACCCTAAACCCTTAAACCTATAAACTCTAAACCCTAAAACCTTAAACCTATAAAGCTGAAAGCACCTGCCAAACCTCAAAACCCTAGAGCGGACCCAAATAAACTGAACTTCTGCACCCTAACACCCCTAACCCCTAAACCCTAAACCCAGCACTTACACCCGAACCCGGAACCCAAAATCCGGAAGCCTTCGACCCCGAACCTTGGACACCTCCACGCCAAGGCCCGAGCCTCAACCCTGAGCCTAGACCCATCCCAACTTCGGCACTCCGGCACCCTTCCGATGAAGGAACTTTGAGACCTGTACTATAGGGGCCTTAATAATTAGAATAGGGTTTTGGGGCCCATTATAGTATAATTATAATAAGGAACCCCCAAAACCCTATTCTAATTATTAAGGCCCCTACATTAAACCTACCGACATCGTCCAGGATGACAGCAGTCTTTAGGGCGTGGGGCTCAGGATCTTTTGGTTCAGGGTTTGGGGCATAGGACCTAGGATGAAGGCTCGTTGAACGCCGAAGACCTGGCTCCCAAAGCACAAGTCCTACGCAGACCCTCGCTACGAACTCCTCGCACTCTCGGTGCTACTATTACCAAAACTACTGCTGTGATTCGACAAAACCCGAGCTGAAAAACGGTAAAAACTGCGAAACAACGAAAGCAACGAAAAAGCCCAACAGTCCCACTGGGACAATCCAAACATGTTCAAAAACAAACCCGAAGGGATGGCGCCTGGTTACGAGCTCGTGAGGTGCCGACCTCAAGTGCTTGGGGCTGGCCCCAGAACAGCCTCAGCGTTGCCATGTGGTGCTATAGTTTTCTCTAGCGTTCTATCTGTTGTGTACAGCGTATCTTCGTCTATACCGTGCCATCGTAACATGTATAGCTGTGTGCGGTTATTTCTTGGTACTCGTTACGACTAGTCTACGTTCTTGATTCAGGGCTTCACATTATTGCAGGCATGTTTGGTTTTTGGGTTTCGGCACTTGTAATTAGTTCCCTAAACCCTAAACCCTAAACTCTAAAGTTGTACTGTCAGGTCTAGCGTTTGGAGTGTTTTGCGGTTTGAGGGACATAGCTTCGAGAACGAGGCCTGGGCGGGAGCCTCACAAGAAGCGTGCGAAAGGAGCAGAAAAAGGAATAGGGGTTTAGGGGTTTAGGGGTTTAGGGTTTAGAGTTTAGGGGTTTAGGGGTTTAGGGTTCAGGGTCTAGAGTGCAAACTGCTCGAAAGGGGCTACGTACCCGACTTCGAGACATGGAAGCAAACCGCTCGAAACGGACTAGAGACTTTGAGAAAAAGGAAACAACCGCCCTCTGCGGCCGCACGCCGCTCGAAAAGGACTCGAGAACTTGCGAAGGACAAGCAAGCCGATCGAGCTTGTGAGATGTAGGAACAACTCAGAGAGCCCAATACCCATCAGTTGAGGAACTTTTCTTCAATAATAACACCAATTCCCCTGACAACGGGCTTGATATCTTGATTTCAGGTGTGTGTGTGTGTGTGTATGTGTATGTATATACATTTATATATATATATATATGTATATATATATACATATGTATATATATATACATACATATGTAATATATATATATATGTAGGGCCCAAATCGCCTCGTTTCGAGGAACTTTGACGTGCCCCAGTGCCTTCATGGGGAAACGAAGGCACGACCGTACACGACATCGCTGCAAGGTATGTGTCATGCTGCCTGGCCTAGTTTCGAAAGCATTGTGGCTGGGACCGGCAAGCTGCCAGGATACTTAGATTTCTGCTCCTGCGATTCGCACAAAAAGTCTGAGCAACAACACCTGCATCCCGGGCAAAGCGATGGACTATCGAGGAGGCGTTTTGCCGACGGCAGCTCGAGACCCATCAACAAGTGAAGATGGCAGACATGGACGAACAAACCAATTCTCCACAGTGTTTCGACTTCAGCGCGTGTTGCTCAGGACATGGGGCGCTTCTGAGTTTTGACCATGGCTGCAGTCCCATGGGAGAAACGCTTGACTGTCGTGGGACGAGTGGTCGACCATGGTCGACCCAACGACCTTTCGGAAGTAACGTCTCTGAAACGTTACAGCACGCTTGTTACATGCAGCCAATCGGCGGTAGATGGCTGCAACACTGGTCCCCAGAATGTGGTGGCCAGCGACGGATTTCTGGAGAGCAATGATGATGGCCTCACTAGCCACAATGCACAGTGGTCAGGGCTGGCGACTCTTCACGCGGCTTCCTGACGAGGTTGGTTGTCACAGCTGGTTGCGCAGTGGAGTTTGGGAAAAACTGGACTTTGACGAGGGTGGTGGTTGCGCCAAGAAGGCGCAAGTGAATCTCATCACATGAGCCGGACGGTCTCATGAGCATCCCGCAGCCGGGGACTTTCGATTCCGAAGACGGTGCCAGTGCCGACGAAAAGCTCGCATCCTTACACAGGCAGCTGTCACACGACTGTGAAGAACACAAGCGCGCAAAGCGCGATGTGATGGCTTCGGTTGTGTTTCGTGTGGTGCAGAGTCCAGTGCAGATCACGCAACATATGCTGCAGTTTCATAATCAGCTCTCCGGAAAGTCCGGCGTTCGCTCCGGACCTGGTGCCCACGTCGACTGCGTTGACATTGGCAGTGCGGGGGCCGGTGATTATGTCTTTGACCCAGGAGGCCTTTAGTTGCAACAGTGCACCACGCGGTAAAGTTCGCTAACAGTCTGTTCGTGAAGCTGGCCTGGCCATTCTTTCGTGGCTATTCACGGAGAGTGGTGCGGCCCCGTTGCGAGCCCCTTTTGACTTTGTGACGGTGTGACGTTCTTCAGGGATGGCTTTTGAGGCACAGCGGCCAGCTACCGCCCTGGGGTTCATGTCCTGTCTCGCGGTGAGGGCCTCTGATTTCTGCTCCATGCTTGCGTAGCAAGTCATGAGTGCACACAGGGTGGCCGCCTCCCCAACCGCATGTTTTAGTTAGTTGCAAGCATAGGCTCCATCCGACATGGATTCTTTGCCTTTGAAAGTGAAAGTGAAA